GTGGTACGCCTAACTGTAACCCTAATTACGCAAGATTTGTAGAAGCGAGGAATGTGTCAGGCGAGTGGGAAAGAACTGTGTGAGAAGTTGTTGCGACCTTGTGTAGATAATGTGTAGATAATATGGAATGTAGACTAAGAGTTTACATTAGTGAGCAAAACAAGATATCAGAATGACCTATGTATAAACAAAATGCAGCTGTTGCTCATTATTGTCTGTAACAAAAGGTATAAATGCTTGCTGTAATTGTTTACCTGTTGAGAGACCTGTTTAGCTCTCTCCCCCTATGCAGTTGATAGAGAGAAAATAAAGTATCTGATTTGCTATACCCAAACAAAAAGTGAGAACTCTGTTATTCTCTGACAATTTGGGGGCTCGTCCGGGAGGGCAACGCCCACAGAAGCACCAGCAGCTGCTACGGATCGTTCCCCTTCGAACCCCATGGCACCACAATAGAGGTAGGAGACCTTTTGAAATCTTTATTGGGGTGTCGGAGGAGGACTGTCCGTGGGGCCGTCTGTCCCTGTTGGGCTCACGCCATCCGAACTTATTGACTGTGCATCAAGGTCAGATGCAGAGCGGTTCTGGGGAATTGTTTTGCCGCCCCCAATAAGGTAGTTGTATGCAGTTCTGGGGACCTGTTAGTTTGGCTGCCCCCATTATGCATATGAGAGATGCATAGGTATGCACCGGTGCAGAGGGGTTGTTACCGCCTCAAGAGGGGTTGTTACCGTCTCATAGTGTAGATGCATCCTGGTACTTGGGAATAGTACCTGGAAATAGAGGCCTTGGGGGGATGTGTGTGTGTGTACACACCAGTGTGAATTGAGAGTTACCGGAAGACGCCCAGAGTACTCTGCGAAGTCTTTTGGCTCGTGACCACAACTACTCTAACGCAAGCCCGGTAACTAGAGGATCTTTCAGGAGATCCGACCCACGGTGGGCTAACTCGGCCTGGCATCATCCGGCGAGGAGGCTACCTGGGTCTAGGAGTGTGTGAACCCATCTTCCCTCCCCTTTTCCTCTCTGTGTGAGCCACTGACAGTCTGATCATCTCACTGGATGCAACAGAGTAAGCGGCGCCGTCTTTCTGAGACTAGCCGACGCTCTTTGCTGAAGGGAGGTGTAGGAGGGTCGTGGCCATCCTCGTTAGCCTCTCCTGTGTGAGTACCCTGTAGGGAGAGATCCTTAGTTTATGTGCTGCTAGTGTGGACAGGGCATCCTCCCTGTGTGTGTGATTGAAAAATGGGTGGGAGACAGTCTAAGCATTCCCTCTCACCCCCTAAGGGTACCCCAGCTTATTTCATGTACGTACATTATGGTCCTAAAACCTGCAGATATTTAGAGAATTGGAATCATTACACGCGTCAAAATTCATCTAAACAATGCTCACTAGAAGGTACCTTCAATCTAGATAAGATCATACATCTCAGAGGAGCTTTTAATCACCAAAAAGCCTCTGACACACAATGGGAGCAATTTGTCTATTGAGGAAAGGAACGGGTTAATTTGAAATTCAGCTTGGTCCAGAGATAAAGAGAAAGTTAATCTGCGTTCAAGGTCAAGAATCAATGCAGACCAGGCTAAGTACAAAGAAAAACTGCTCTCGGCTCCAGCTGGCTGTGAAAAAAAATATAGACAGAGTCAAACCAAAGGCAATACAAGTTACAGTGCTGAGATTACATTTGCAAAGCTTAACTGTCCAGTGAGATCCAACAGTCTGCCTTTGCGACCCTGGAGCTGGCATGGTTTGGAGATGCTGAAGAA